CGGTTCTTTAAAAAAATTTTTTTAATAAAAAAAAAAAGAATTTTAAAGCAAATCCCAGACTGGTTCACTCATAAATACCTCAAGATGTATCTGTTACAAATAAGAACTTAAAACAAACAAACCATAATCACAATGCCATTATCACATGTAACAAAACTAACAATAATTATTTAATACTAGAAGCCCGGTGCATGAATTCGTGCAGGGGTGGGGTCTGTCCAGCCTGGCCTGATAGGGGCGGATTGGCCAGGCAGGCAAGGAGAGGGGAAGCGGGAGGTTGGCTGGCCCCCACAACCCTGATCGGGGCGAGGCCAGCCTGCCAACCGCCCGTGGCCCCCTCCCCCCAGCCAGCCCACCCCCTGATGGAACTGCTGCAGAACTCCTGGTGGAGGGGACAATTTGCATATTACCCTTTTATCAGATAGGAAGATTAACTAATTCTCAGCTCATATTCAAATTTTGCAAAGTGATGATAATGTTTGCCGACAAACTTAAGCTACCTAAGGAGAGAAGAAATAAGAAAGCTGATGAGGTGTGGTACAATGGAAGGTGGTTAGATCAACAGGTTAAAGGTCCTGGTGAGTGGGAAGATAATTGAAGTTAGGAGCCCACAGGGAGTTAGCTGAAGGGGTGGGGTGGGGTGGTCCCATTTTCATCTGCCCACTGCTCAGTCACAACAGTCCTCTTTTTCAGTTTATGAGACAAACTCCCTCCAATCACTATCTCATCCATTTTTTTAAAATATATTTTTATTGATTTCAGAGAGGAAAGGAGAGGGAGAGAGAGATAGAAACATCAATGATGAGAGAGAATCAATCATTGATCAGCTGCCTCCTGCATGCCCCTCACTGCGGATTGAGCCTGCAACCCGGGCATGTGGCCTTGACCGGAATCAAACCTGGGACCCTTCAGTCCAGCGGTGGCCAACCTTTCGGACCTCAGGGACCACCAGTGGTCCACAGGCCCGAGCTCTATCCACTGAGCCAGACCAGCTCAGGCTATCTCATCCAATTTAGCTCCAGCACCGGATACTCTCAGGAGACTCTGCAAACTAAATTAGGTCCTCCTTTTATACCTTTCTTCTTTGGAGCACTTACAATTTCAAAACTATAGAAAAACGTGTTTGTTTGAAGTTGAAGTCCACTAAGAACTATGTCTCCTTTGTTCACTACGGTCATTGCAAGCTCCTAGGGCAGCGTCATAGGACACACCCAATAAATGTATTTGCTGGACAAAGGAGGAAGTGTTCAATAATGCCAAATGCCACAGACTTCTAAACCCACCTGTCATAGGGTTTCTAAGAAGGTTTCTAAATTATCTATTCTCAGGTGACGGTCGCCAATTCCTCACTTGTAGGAAGATAGAATTTAGGCGGCCCATTTAAGTTCATTACTTGAAGACTACATTGGGCCCTTGTTCCTGCTTAACTTGGAGAGACAGCTCTAAATGCCCCTTTATCAGCCCCAAAATGCTCTTGCATAAAGGAAACAATTACTTAAGGTTCAATCTAAACACTCGAGCCCCCGCCCCGTGGTGTACCAAGCCCTAAAATGGCCAAGGAGGGGTGGGTGCCGTGGGCATGCGCGGAAGGGTACCTGCAGAGGGGATCTGAACCTCCCCAGAACGGAAGTCCCCGAGCCTTCAAAGCCGCGGGGAAGTAACTCGGCAACGGACCAAGATGGCGGCGCCCAGCGAGGGGACAGCGTTTGCTGCGGGGATTGAAAAGACTTGGGGTGCAGTTGTTCGCTCCCCAGAAGGGACTCCCCAGAAAATCCGGCAGCTGATAGATGAGGGGATTGCCCCGGAAGAAGGAGGCACTGAAGCGTGAGTTCGCGAGTCCACCCTGGTCCAGCTCCGGCTGATTGGAGAGGGTTGTCCGGCCTGTGGGGATCCCCTGGGTGGGTGACTCCGGCGGCGAGGATGGCTTCGTCCCGGGATCTGAAAGAGACCGGGGTCACTATCGGCTTTAATCTCCTCGGGGTGTGCGGGATTGCCGTGGTCAGGTTTTGGGGAGAAGGAAGAAAGAAGACCGCTATGTGCACATGACTGCTCTCAGTTGGGCTTCTTAACCGGTTTTGAGCTGTAGACAGCTGTGGCAGCCCGCTAAAGCTTACGAACCCCTTCTCGGCATCTTATTATTAAATGTACAAAGTAAATTGCATAGGATGATGCCCGGCCGGTGTGGTTCAGGGGGGCAGCATCGAACCATGACCCGGAGGTGGCCAGTGGGGTTCCGGTCGGGGCACAGCCCGGGGTGCGGGCTCCCTCCCCGGCGGGGCTGCGGGAGGCAGCCCGTGTGTTTCTGCCGCCCGCCCTCTCCCTGCCCCTGTCTGAAGTAAATGAGTAAATAATGACCTAGGATGCGAAAGGAAGTCGATTCTGTTGGAATTCAGTCATGAAGGTAGTAGAAAAAGGGGATGCAGTCGCGTACTTCATTCCTAACGCGATAGATACTCTCCAGCCATCCGTCTTGTAGCTGCCACAGTGTTGAAGTAGTGATATCAGCATCAGTGATATTTCAAAGCACGTGCAGCCACCATAATGTGACAAAATGTCTGTAGTTTCCATTCGTCACGAATTCGCAGGGATTGCCGATGCTGCCATGGTTTTATTACCTTCATTCGTAATTGAAAGAATGCTGAATTTCAGTTAGAGGTTAGTAAAATAAGTGTCATTTTTTTTCTCCTTCCAAGTTTATGAATCCTCAGGTTTTCCCAAGAACCGCACCTCCCTGAGGCTCTCTGAGTCTCCTGGAAGAATTCTGACCATAAATTCCTTTCAGTTACAATAGTGGGTGGAATCCTGTTTCTATTAAAATGACTTTTGTCTTCAGCAGTTCCGCCCAGTACCTCTCCCCGGGCGCTGTTGACATACCGTTCCCTGCAAATAAAATAATGTTTTTTGCTGGTTTTTTTCTCCCTGAAATTTTTTTCATGAAATTGCCTAAAGATCTTTACTTTGATTTGACTTTTCAAATTAGTACGTTGATGGGAGGAGTGGGTATCACTGCCTGATCTAGGTAGGAATGCCAGGATTGTTTTCTTCTACTGTGAAACGAATTAAATGTCTAAGGTGGTCCAATTACATAATGCACAGAAGCCCAGGGTCTTATTTTGTGTTTACTAAAGTTGTGCAAAATATGAATAGGGAGCACGAGTGTACTAGGGGAACAGTTAGCCACCGCAGAGGTAGGGATTGCTTGGGACTTAGGTGTGGCCACACAGAAGAGACGGAAGGATTGGGATTCTATTTAGCAAGTGTATCATCCAAGACCCCCTTCGGGTACCCAGACCCTCAGGCGCCCAAGTCCTTTATATAAAACCAGAGGCCCGATGCATGAATTTGTGCACAGGTGGGGTCCGGCTGGCCCTGATCGCCCCTATCCGGCCAGGGGTAGGGGCCAAGGGTGGTGGGCTGGAACAATTTGCATATTAGCCTTTTATATAGGATGACATAGTTTTTGCATATAACCTGTGCACATCCCCCATATACTTTAAATCATCTCTAGATTACTTATCATGCCTAATATAATGTAAATAGTTGTTTACTGAGTCGTTAGGAAATAATGACAAGAAAAATGTCTGTACATGTTCAGTGTAGACACAACCATCATAGGCCTAACTACATAGTTCACATCAGCAAAAACATTTTCCCCCAAAATATTTTATATCTGCAGTGGAATGAATCTGCAGATGTGGAACCTGTGGATACAGAGGGCTGACTGTCTTGTGAAACCACTGAAAATGTTATCAGAAGAATTACATAGCTGAAATGGTTTTTAGCAAGGTTAAAATCCAGTGTGGTGTGGTTGAGGATGTGGAGTGCAGAGAAGCTAGATACAAAATGTTTAAGCAAAGTGATCCTTTGTGATGCCATGAAAGGATTACTAATAGTTCTGCCATTTTATTTTAGGAAAGAGACATCAGCCACATTCCAGTCAGTTAATGGATCACCCCAAACAGAACAGCCACCATTGGAATCTACAAGCAAAGAAGCCTTCTTTAGCAGAGTGGAAACATTTTCTATATCCTTTTTGTAGTTCATGCGAATTGTACTTCTGCCTGCTCCTGGAATTGTTACTCCCAAGGAATAACACTACTTGCTCTGATGTTTTAAATTTAAGAATTAAACTTGGACCCTAGCTGGTTTGGCTCAGTGGATAGAGCATCAGCCTGCGGTCTGGGGGGTCCTGGGTTTGATTCTGGTCAAGGACACATGCCCAAGTTGCGGGCTCGATCCCCAGTAGGCAGGAGGCAGCCGATCAATGATTCTCTCTCATCATTGGTGTTTCTATCTATCTCTCCCCTCTCTCCCTTCTTCTCTGAAATCAATAAAAATATATTTTAAAAAATGAAACTTGGTAAGAAATCTTTAAAAATATGTTTTTACTAGAGACCCAGTGCACAAAAATCATGCACTCGGGGTGGGGGTGTGTGTCTCTCAGCCCAACCTGCGCCCTCTCGCAGTCTGGGAGCCGTAAGGGGATGTCCGACTGATGGCTGACATCCTTAGCGCTGTTGTGGAGGTGGGAGAGGCTCCCGCCACTGCTGCTGTGCTCGCCAGCCGTGAGCCTGGCTTCTGGCTGAGTGGCGCTCCCGCTGTGGGAGTGCACTGACCACCAAGGGGCAGCTCCTGCGTTGAGCGTCTGCCCTCTGGTGGTCAGTGCACATCATAGTGACCAGTTGTTCCCCCATTTGGTCGATTTGCATATTAGCCTTTAATTATATAGGATTGATTTCGGAGAGGGAGAGAGAGAAACACCATGATGAGAGAATCATTGATAGGCTGCCTCCTGCAAGCCCACTACTGGGGTTGAAGCCCACAGGCTAGGCATGTGCCCTGACTAGGAATTGAACTGTGACCCCTGAGCCACACCAGCTGGGCTTGGTAAGAAATCTTGTAGGAAAATTAGTATCATGAAATGTCATCTCTCAAAGGAACATTTTAGATCAGCGGTTCTCAACCTGTGGGTCGTGACCCCTTTGGAGGCCGAATGACCCTTTCACAGGGGTCGCCTAAGACCATCGGAAAACACATATATAATTACATATTGTTTTTGTGATTAATCACTATGCTTTAATTATGTTCAATTTGTAACAATGAAATTGGGGGTCACCACAACATGAAGAACTGTATTAAAGGGTCGCGGGATTAGGAAGGTTGAGAACCACTGTTTTAGATGATCCAACATCTTACAAAAAAAAAACACGAAGAGCCAGGGAGGAGAAGCAGCAATAATTAACATTTTTATATGTGTTCTCACATATATTGTCACATTTGATCTTTACCTTAAACCAATGAAAATAAGGTATTATTATTATTATTATACTCATTTTACCAAAGAGGAAGCAGTTCAGGTAGGTTATGTGACTTGCCAAAAGTCAACCTGCTAGCAAGTGGCAGAGGCAGGACTATAGCGTAAGGCTCTTGGCAACCAAATCTAATATTTTTTGAGACTACTATACTTTTTGTCTTTTTCTAGATTTTCCTCTGTATATTCTCTATTGTTGCATAACAAATTACCCTAAAACTCAGTGGCTTAAAACAACGAACGCTTATTATCTCACAATTTCTGTGGATCAAGAATCCAGGCACAGCTTAGCCAAGTCCTCTGATTCAAGGTCCCTCACAGATAGCAGTGAAGGTATAGGGTGGGGCCTGCAGTCATCTTAGGGGTGGCTAGGAAAGGATCTACTTCCCATCTAATGTGGTTGTTGATAGGGTTCATTTCCTTGTAGCTATTGGATTGAGGGCTTCAGTTATATACTAGCTGTTGGCTGGAGACCTTCATGTTTCTTGCTTCATAGGCCTTTCCATGGTAGCTGGCTTCCATCAGAGTGAGCAAGCCAGAGAGAGCAAGACAGAAGCTGGACACCTTGTAACCTAATATCAGAAGATATTCCATTACTTTTGCTAGGTTCTATTCACTAGAGTGATTTTTTTAAAAATTTAAATAGTTGTAGACTTACAGAAAGGTTGCACAGGTTACAAAGAACTTTCTTTCTGAAATACTTGAAAATAAGTTGCCAAAGTGATACCTCATTGTCCCCCAAGTATTTCCTACAAACAAGAACTTTCTCCTACATACAATGCAGCCATCAAAAAATATTCATAAAACTATCATCTAACCCTCTGACCCAAATTATTTCATCTGTTGTCCCAATAATGTGTTTTTTTGTTTTTTACTTTATTGATTTGAGAGAGAGAAACATCGATTTGTTGTTCCACTTGATCAAACCTGAATGCTTGCCCTAGCTCGTTTTGCTCAGTGGATAGAGCATTGGCCTGTGGACTGAAGGGTCCTGGGTTCGATTCTGGTCAAGGGCACATGCCCCAGTTGTGGGCTCAATCCCCAGTAGAGGGTGTGCAGGAGGCAGCGAATCAATGAATCTCTCTCATCGTTGATGTTTCTCTTTCTCTCTCTCTCTCCCTCTCCCGTCCTCTCTGAAATCAGTAAAAATATATTAAAATAAAAACAAAAACAAAACCTGAAAGCTTGGTGTATGGGAACAACACTCTAACCAACTGAGCTACCCAGCAGGGTCCAGTAATGTTCTTTATAGCAAAAGGATACAGTTGAGAATTCTCAATTTTTCCTTGAATTTCATGATCTTGATACTTTTGAAGATTGCAGGCCAGTTATTTTGTAGTATCTCAGTTCATATTTGTGTGCTATTTCCTTGTGATTAGATTCAGGTAATGCAGGAGCATCACAGAAGTGGTGCTGTGTTCTCATTGCATCCTGCCAGGTGGCACACGATTTTGATTTATCCCTTTACTGGCAGTGATCACTTTGATACTTGATAAAAGGGAGGGTCTGTCAGTCTTCTCCATTATAAAGTAATTAAAAAGTGTTTTGTGGCTGGCCTGCATAACTCAGTGGTTAAGTGTTGACCTGTGAACCAGGAAGTCACGGATGATTCCAGTTCAGGGCACATGCCCAGGTTGTAGGCTCAATCCCCAGTGGGGGCATGCAGGAGGCATCCAATCAATGATTCTCTCTCATCATTGATGTTTCTCTCTCTCTCTCTCCCTTCTTCTCTGAAATCAATAAAAATACATATTTTTTTTAAAGTGTTTTGTGGGGAAGTGCTTTGAAATTAGGTAAATAACATCATCAAACTTTATATAATTTATTTGTAGCAGCATGGGCTCATGATTTCTTTTAGTTAATAGGTTATAATCCATTACTATCATTATATATTTGGGTATTTCAGTTGTCCCTGGACTAATTTTTTATTTTAATATAGTATTTTTTATTTTATTTATTGATTTGAGAGAGAGAAGAAGAGATTGAGAGAGAGAGAGATAGAGGGAGATTGAGAGAGAAACATAGATTTGTTATTTTACTTATTTATGCATTCTTTGGTTGATTCTTATATGTGCCCTGACCTGGGATTGAACCTGCAACCTTGACATATTGGGACAACGCTCTAACCAACTGAGCTACTCAGTTAGGGTCTGATTTTAAGAAAGTATTTAGAACCATTTCCTTTTATTCTCTTTTGTTCTCATTGGATATAAATTGATTACTACTTTGGATATGATAATTTATTTAACTTAAGCTAGTTAAGTGATTCTGTTACTTTTATTCTAGACTAGAGGCCTGGTGCACTGGGATGGGGGTGGGGGCCCTCAGCCTGGCCTGTGCCTTCTCACAGTCTGGGACCCCTCAGGGGATGTCCGCCACCGCAGCTGCACTCACCAGCCATGAGCCAGCTTCTGGCTGAGCGGCGCTCCCCCTGTGGGAGCACACTGACCACCAGGGGGCAGCTCTTGCATTGAGTGTCTGCCCCCTGGTGGTCAGTGCACGTCATAGCAACCGATCGTTCTGCTGTTCGGTCGATTTGCATATTAGCCTTTTATTATACAGGATAATCCCACCTCCTTTAACATTTACATCTAAATTCTGTTTTCTAGCCTTTGGTCCTCCTTTTGCTGATACTGGAATGTTTTCAAATTTTCATATTCCTTATAAAAATATAGAACTTTCCTACATCTTCTTTCATGTTTTATCCCTTTTTCCCCATGTGCTGTGAAAAAAGAGCTCTTTAGGTAAAATATAAAAAGCTGAATGTTGAGTATTAAAGAGACACCAGCCAGGGTTAAAAATAGTTTTAAGCCCTGACCCGTGTGGCTCTGTTGGAGCATTGTCCTGTACACTGGAAGGTCGAGGGTTTGATTCCTGGTCAGGGCAAATACCTAGGTTGCAGGTTCAGTCCCCGTTTGGGGTGTGTACGAGAGGCAACCAGTCAGTTTCTCTCTCACATCAATGTTTCTCTCCCTTCCTCTCTAAAATCAATTAACATATCCTTGAGTGAAGTTTAAACCCTGGCCTTGAAGCTCAGTTGCTTATAGTATCATCTTAATACAATACACCAAGGTTACAGGTTGGATCCCCAGTCAGGACACATACTAGTACAAGAATCAACCAATAAGTACATAAATAAATGGAACAATAAATTGATATATCTCTCTTTCTCTCCCTCTCCTTGACCTTCTTCCTCTCCCTTCCCCTTCCTCTCTCTCTCAAATGAATAAATAAAAAATTTTAAATAAATAAAAATTGTTTTAACACTTTTTTTACTGTGTTTTCCCTCAGTTTAATATATTTATTTCTGTATACAGAAAGAATAAGTGAAAGGTTTAATTTCTGACTTACTCAATTTAATGTACTTGCAGTGTTGTTTTTCTTAACATGAATACTCTTTGAAATGGGCAGGTAAGCCCCCTGAGCTGTCTCCACTTGTCTGTGCAAAATATGGCTGGGTCACAGTTGAATGTGATATGCTCAAGTGCTCCAGCTGTCAAGCTTTTCTCTGTGCCAGTTTACAACCAGCTTTTGATTTTGACAGATGTAAGTATAAAATACAAATTACATTTTTCTCTATATTCAAAGATAGACTCTGCTACTTTTTCAGAAAAGACTGGCCACTTGTTTGATTAAAGAATGTATACTGCTGTATATAACAAGGTGAATTTGTGTTCGTCTTCACTGTATGAGCGTCAGTCATTCCTTTTTTTCTTCAGTCATTCCTTTTTTAAAAAACTAAACTAGAATGAACTTGATTTTATGTATTCTGGGAAACTAACAGTAAGTATGTTTACTTTATGGTTCCAAAATTTATACTTAGGCAAAGAGAGGAATTGGTGAAGGCTCACACTTTGGAATGCCTGCCTTATAAGATACATGATATGCTCTTTGTTATTGATCTTAGGATCTGGATTTAAAACTTGTTTTGTAGAAAATATTAAGATGATGCAGTTGCGAATATTTCATATATTTTGTAGTTTTCTTAGTTATTTTTATGTTTGAGTCTATACTCTTAAGGCTTTGAATCTCTATAGTGTTTTTAAAGCTTTGTTTCCTCTGTGGGTTTCAGATAAGGAGCGATGTGCTGAGCTGAAGAAAGCCTTGTGTACTGCCCATGAGAAGTTCTGTTTCTGGCCAGATAGCCCCTCTCCAGGTACTTACTTCCAAGATTTCCCATTTACCATCTCTTCTTGGTCATTGCATTTCTATATTGTATATTTATTTATGAAAATCTAATTGAAGTTCTTGGTCTTTATCAAGAACTGACTTACATTCATTCACTTATTATGTTACTGCTTAACTTTATTAAGTGCGTTTGACATGCCAAAGGCTTAGCCATGCATACATTATCCCATTTAATCCTCATAGGGGCCCTGGAATATAAACATTATCAACCCAGTTTATATATATATATATATATATATATATATATATATATACACACACATACACACACACACACACACACACACACTAGAGGCCCTTTGCATGAAGAGATTCGTGCTATAGGCCTTCCCTTCCCCTGGCTGCCGGCACTGGTTTTCCTTTGGCACCCGGGACCCAGGCCTTCGCTCCGGCCAGAGCCTTCAGTCTTTGCTCCGCCGCTTCGCGCCTACGTATGCAAATTAACCACCATCTTTGTTGGGTTAATTTGCATGCTCTCCTGATTGGCTGGTGAGCGTAGCAGAGGGATGGTCAATTTACATGTTTGTCTATTAGGATATATACATATATACACACACACACACACATATACTAGAGGCCCGGTGCACAAAATTCGTGCACGGAGGGGGGGGGGTCCCTCAGCCCAGCCTGCACCCTCTCCAATCTGTGATCCCTCTCACAATCCAGGACTGCTGGCTCCCAACCGCTCACCTGCCTGCCTGGTTGCCCCTAACCGCTTCTGCATGTTAGCCTGATCACCCCCTAACCACTCCCCTGCCAGTCTGATCAACGCCTAACTGCTCCCCTGCCGGCCCGATTGCCCCCAACTGCCCTCCCCTGCCAGCCTGGTCCCTCCCAACTGCTCTCCCTCCCCTGCAGGCCCGGTCACCCCCAACTGCCCTCCCCTGCCAGCCATCTTGTGACCACATGGGAGCGGCCATCTTTGTGCGAGGGTGTGATGGTCAATTTGCATATTACCTCTTTATTATATAGGACTAGAGGCCCAATTTGTGCACTTGGGGGGGCGGGGGTGGGGAACGGGGGTCCCTCAGCCCGGCCTGTGCCCTCTCGCAGTCTGGGACCCCTCAGGAGATAACGACCTGCTGGCTTAGGCCTGCTCCTGGGTGGCAGAGGGCAGGCCCAATCCTAGGTGCAGCCCCTGGTCGGGCTCAGAGCAGGGCTGATTGGGGAGTTGGGGTGCCGCCCCCTGTCATGCACAGAGCAGGGCGGATTGGGAGGTTGCGATGCCACCCTCAGTCACGCTCAGGGTAGGGCCGATTGGGGGGTTGGGGCACTGCCCCCTGTCACACTCATGGCAGGGTTGATGGGAGGTTGCGGCGCCACCCCCTGTGACGCACAGAGCAGGGCCAATCAGGGGGTTGAGGAGCTGCCCCCTGTCACGCACAGAGCAGGGACCATCAGGGGGTTGGGGCTCTGTACCCTGTCACGCACAGAGTAGGGCCGATAGGGGAGTTAGGGCACCGCCCCCTGTCACACACACAGCAGGGCAGATCAGGGGGTTGGGGCGCCGCCCTGTATCACCCACAGAGCAGGGCCGATCAGGGGGTTGGGCGCACACTGTCACACTCAGGGCAGGGCCAATGAGGAGGGTATGGCTCTGCCCCTTC